CTTTCTCCCTCACTTCCCCTCTCTCAAAAAATAAATAAAAATATTTTTTAAAGGAAATCCTGTTGTTTTTGACAACTTATATGGAACTTAAGGGCATTGTGTTAAGTGAAATAAGTCAGGCACAGAAAGATAAATACTGTGTGATATCACTTACAGGTGGAATCTAAAACAGCCAAAATCAGAGAAACAGAGATCAGAGTTGGAGTTTTCAGGTGCTGGGGTGTGGAGACAATGGGAGAGATATGGGTTAAATGGCATAAACTTACAGTTATAAGGTTAACAAGTGCTGGGAATCTAATGTACAGCATGATGATTATAGCTAATTAAACTGTATTATATACTCAAAAGTTGCTAAGACAGTAGGCCTTAAGTGTTTTCACCACTAAAAAGAAATTGTAATTACATGACAATATGAAGGTAGTAGCTAATGCAATATTAAAGATAAATATTTTGCAATATAGAAATGTACCAAATCAACAGGTTGTATACCTTTGACTTACATTGTTATATGTCAATTATATTTTAGTAAATCTGGGGGAAATGTCACTAGTGTATGGAAGAATAACACCTTAGAGAAAGGTAAACCAAAATTTACCTGCCCTGTCTGTTAGCTAATTAAAGCTGTAAATGGACTTTTATTTATTAACTAATGTGTTCACTTAATCATATAAGGACTCATTATCCACACCTTGACAAATCATCTATCATTTTAACACATCTATTTTTTTTGGTCTAAATTTTTTTCCACTCAGTATCTACTCAATACATATCTATATAAACCATGACCATTCTCCCATTCTATCATCTCCTTCCTTTTATTTCCAACCTGGCCTGCATACAACATTTTTCTTTCCCAGCAATTACACACAAATTAACATATATTATAGATAGTAAAATATAGACAAGGAAAAATATTAGAATATTAAATAATGCATTACTCTATTACTCATAACCATTCTTATTTTGATATATAGTCTTTCAGAAGTTTTAATGAATTTAAATGTTTTATATTCCCACCAAAATGGAATATACCATGTATACAGTTGTTTACTAGTTTTTCCAATTAAGATTATTCACTAATTTTTTTCCAAGAAAATAAGAGTAATTGTCCATCAGTGCATTCAAGAGCTGCATAATATTTTTTTATGGCTGTTCAAGTACAGTTTTCACCCCATCATGACCCCTGCCCCACCCATCCCCTCCTCCTACCTACCCTCAAACCTACCTCCTTTGGCTTTGTCCGTGCGTCCTTTATACATGTTCCTTGATGGCCCTTCCCCTATTATCCCTCCTCTACCTCCTCTCTGATTAGTGTCAGTTCTTTATTTCAATGCCTCTGGTTGTATTTTGCTTGCTTGTTTGTTTTGTTGATTAGGTTCCACTTATCAGTGAGATCATATGGTATCTGTCTTTCGCCTAGCATAATACCTTCCAGTTCCATCCATGCTGTTGCTAATGGTAGGAGGTCTTTCTTTATTTCTGCTGCATAGTATTCCATTGTGTAAATGTACCACAATTTTTTGATCCACTCACTTCCTGATGGGCACTTAGGTTGCTTCCAGTACTTGGCTACTGTAAATTGTGCTGCAGTGAACATTGGGTGCATAAGTTCTTTTGAATTGGTGTTTTAGGATTCTTAGGGTACAATCCCAGCAATGGAATTGCTGGGTCAAAAAGAAATTCCATTTTTAGTTTTTCTGAGGAAATCCCATACTGTTTTTCACAGTGGCAGCACCAGTCTGCATTCCCACCAGCAGTGCATTAGCGTTCCCTGTTTTCCACATCATCTCCAACACTTGTTGTTCATTGATTTGTCATTGATGGCCATTCTCACTACTGTGAACTGGTATCTCATTGTGTTTTTAATTTGCATCTCTCTGATAGCTAGTGCTGCTGAGAATCTTTTCATATGTCTCTGGGCCCTCTGTATGTCTTCCTTGGAGAAGTGTCTGTTCAAGTCCTTTGCCTATTTTTAAATTGGGTTGTTTGTCTTCCTGGAGTGGAGTCATGTGAGGTCTTTATATATTTTGGAAGTCAAACCCTTGTCCAAGGTATCATTTCCAAATATGTTTTCCCATATGGTTGGTTCTTTTTTAATTTTAATGCTGTTTTCTTTAGTCATGCAGAAGCTTTTTGCTTTGATGAGATCCCATTTGTTTATTCTTTTCTTTATGTCCCTTGCTCTAGGGGACATATCAGTTAAAATATTGCTGTGTGGGATATCTGAGATTTTCTTGCCTATGTTTGCCTCTAGGACTTTTATTGTGTAAGGGATGTTTCTTTTTAAAAAATATTATGTTTATTTATTATTAAAAAGAGCCTAATGAAGGAAGAGAGGGAGAGAAACATGATTGTGTGCTTGCCTCTCACATGCCCCCAACTTGGGACCTGGCCCACAACCCAGCCACGTGCCCTGACTGGGAATCAAACCAGCAATGTTTTTGATCCCAGGCAAGTGCTCAGTCCACCAAGCTACACCAACCAGGTACATAATGTTTCAATGTGTAGACATATTCTACTTTGTTTAGCCAAGTGGTTAAGTCACTTGTCTCATTCACACTTTTTCATACTTCGCACTTACACAAGCCCATTATTTGATTATTTCCTAAGGATAAATTTATTTTTTATAATGATATTAGAAAGAATACTTTATTCCAAGCCTGTGAATTAGAAGATTGTGTAAAGAAGCTATTTTAATCTAAAGGTCTTCACACAGTGGATCACACCTGGTGAGTCCAGAAGGTGACTGACATGCATCTCCAGCAGCCATGCCCTAGGATGACTGCAGAGGTCCCAGGCCAGGTCTGCATCAGCATCTGCTGCAGTGCCATCATGAGGGAGGTTCTGGAACACTTCATTTTTGTAGGGTTGCTGGTATGCCTGCTCTACCTGATAAAGTGGGTGAGATTCTCAAATGTATTTTCCTGCACTTCTGAAAAGTTTTGCCAAGGTCTTTTGTTAAGTCAATGGGACAGTAGACAGGTAAAGAAAGTGTTATATCTCCTGGTTTTTGTTTTCCTGCTTATTATTATTTGTGTCTCAAAAGATATTGCACCTATTCCCTTTCAGAGCACAGATGCAATTCTAAGGATAAATTTCTACCAGTGGACTCACTGGATCAAAGAGCATGTACATCTTCAGGCTTCTGAATTATGTGTCCAAATGGACCTTGTACCAGTGTATGCTCCCACCAGCACACTTTGAGAGTGCCCTCCCTCCACACTCTCACTGCACTCTGGGTTGAGACAGAAGTGGACTTTCTCCAGTATGGATACCGACAGTTCTTTTGATAGTTCCATAAAGGCCCTGCCTCGACCTACGTTAGATAAGAAATCTGATAGAATCACTAAAATTTATTATTTCTTCTATTATATTTCCTTATTTCAAAATAGTAACTCATGTATTTATTTGCATAGATAGCAGAGTTGGCCAGGAAAGAGGACACTTTCCTATCAAATGCCCCCAGGACTCTAAAATAAAATTGCCCCTCAGTGTGTGCCCCCAGAATAGGTCCCAGCACTTCTTTGTTCAAAGGGTCTCTCACTTTCTTCTTTCCCTTACCATTCTCATGGCCAGCAATGACATTTCACACCTTTATCATTTTGTACTCAGACTTATGGTGGTAACTTCCTAACTGGTGTTCTGATCTTCAGTGGCCACTCCTGTCCCCTTCCCAACTCAGACTCATCCTGCACAGAAATCAGCCACATCATTTCCCTTTCATCCTGTCATTCGCATGGTCACAAAAAGGCTTTGGTGTCTCCCAGGATTGGATAGAGTAATATGGAGACACCTTCAGTAATCAGGGACCTTCCACAAATGGGAGTCACCTCAACTGCTGGACTATATTTCTCATCACTCCCTTTCCCACACTTTGCACTCAGGCAGGTCAGCCTCCTTTCTGGAGGATTCCTACCTCCATGCCTTTCTTCCCCTCCTCTCCTTCTTCCAGTGCTCTGCTGCCCTGTTTTTTTTATTTGTTTATTTTTAGAGAGGGGAAACGAGGGAGAAAGAGAGGGAGAGAAACATCAGTGTGTGTTTGCCTCTTGTGCCCCCCCCACTGGGAACCTAGCCAACAACCAGGCATGTGCTCTGACTGCAAATCAATGGGTGACCCTTTGGTTCACAGGCCAGCACTCAATCCACTGAGCCACACCAGCCAGGGCAGTTCTGTCCTGCTTTTAATCTATCCTTCAAGCTCAGCTTACATAAGTGCACCATCCTCTGTAAAATTTTCTCTGAGCATCATTGCCTGCAGAAGTTTCTGCCATCTCTAAGCACTAATAGGAGGAAGCAGCTGGCCACATGATCAGTGGGTTCTTATTTTGTTAATATCTTTTTGTTTCCATATATCCTGAGTTCCCAAATAATCATAAACTGAAGAACATCATAAATTTCTTTTTTTTTTGCTGGTTAATCACACAACTTTATTGATGAAACACAATTCTAAGATTAACAAATTGTAAGCTAATACAAAAATGTTGGTTATTTATGATTAGTTTGCTGTTAGTTTGGATAAAGAGCAAAAAATATCTCAAGCTAGATAACAAGATGAATTAATAAGTGCTTGTTTTGCACAAGCTTTAGTATTCACTTGGCATCCTCTAAAAACAGGGGTGTCCTACCCACAGGCTACATGCAACCCAGGATGGCTATGAATGTGGCCCAACACAAAATTATAAATTTACTTAAAGCCTTTTCTTTGCTCATCAGTTTTTGTCAGTGCTTGTACATTTAATGTGTGGCCCAAGACAACTCTTCTTTCAATGTGGCCCAGAGACACCAAAAGGTTGGACACCCCTGAGAGCCTAAATGGTGCAGCCTAAAAGCAACCATCACAACCAGTATCACTGATGATCTGTGATATTCATTATTACAAAATAGAAGTTGAATGTATCTTTTTGAGATATAAGCACAGTGAAAAACAAAGAATTTACCAAATGTATTGTGTCCAAGTGCAATATAAAAAAATTGTGTTGATGTTTGGGGCAGACTCTCAATCAAAGTTTGGTTAATACTTTTAGAACTTTTACTTTCACTACCAGATCATTGTAATTTGCTAATGCTTTGATTTTCTTAACATACACCCCAGATTCTTGGAATAAGAAAAAAGTGAACTTCTGCTGAACTCTTTCCTGGATGATGCAAGCCCTTCATTTTTTATGTTGTCATTTATATTCTCAAATAGGATTAGGATATTAAGAAGAATCTCTCTGTCCCATTCTTTACTAAAGAGGGAAATCAGTTCTGAGGGTACTTTACAACTGACCAGCTCTCTTGTCATGGCTGGATTTTTAGTAAAGTTTATAATAAGTTTCATAATCTGAATCTTGGTGAAGTAATTTCCCAGGAATAACAAAGCAAAAGAAGTCTGGAAAAGAATAGGAAAGCAAATGTTGGTAATGATTAGTCACAGTCATGTTGGTTAACAGTCTTAGTCCAGCCATCTGCACAGCTGAGTCCAAGCGACAAATCATGGTGTCATCACACACTTGACTGATATACATCTTAATATTCCCCTGATTTTCAGCATTCACATTCAGGTTATTAAGGGCATTATAAGCCTTTTCCTTAATAATGGGATCTTTTGTTTTTATCAGTTTTGCAATAATTGGAAGACCACCCAATTCACAAATGGCATTTTGGTTAAATGAATATGCTGCATTGTTACCGAGAGTGACCAAGGCTACTTCTTGAATAAAAGGATCATTTGTTCTTTCCAGGATGTTAAGGACCTTTTGAAGGTCTGACGCACCTAGAATGTAATCAATTTTATAAGGAAAGTTGAACTTGCCCCTGAGAACAGGCCATGCTGTAGCTGGAGTCTTGGTGCTCTTAGCTCAGGCCCTTTTCTTGCACTTTCCACTTGCCCTGATCCCAGCCCTAGCCCTACTCCTGATGGGGTGGCAGCCTCCACATCTGCCTCCTGGGCAGGGTAAACTCAGTGCAAGTGTCCTGGTCCCAGAGGTGGTACCCAACCTGGCCCCTTTGACAGCCTTTGAACTTGCCTGTTCCTTCAGGGTATTGAAAAGGGCCTTGGCCTTGGCTTCTAAGCCACCTCCTGTCTGGGCTTCTGAGTGAGCTTCTACCTTTGCATATGGACAACTTTTGAGTTCTACAACCACCTCAGCCTTGGCCTTGGCCTTTGAGTCACCCTGAAGTCTAGCTCTGGCCCCCACCCAAGTATTACCTCCTTTCCCAGTCTCCACACCAATCCCTGTAATGTCACTAGATACCTCATCTTCATTGTCATTGCTATAGTCCCAGATTTTCTCGCTGTCATCTCTTCCCCAAGTCAGTCTATATACACAGTAGCAAGCACCTGCCCCGATCACCACACCAGCTGCCACACAGCCAGCTTCCCGAGTATGACCCATACTAAGGCAAACGTCTGAGCTGAATTCTTCACCAGGGCAGAGAAGGTTTGCTGTGGTTTAGAGTACTCCCAAGTCCAGGGTAGAGTCTTTAGCTACAGGTAGCAGGCTCTGCTGCAGCTGGAGATACAACAGCACCTAGAAAAGAAGGAAAGGTTTGAGGATTCAGTCTCCTTTTGTGCTTTTGTGTGCAGACAGACTAAACTATGGGCCAATGAAGGGATGGGCACTCCGGGCTAGATCACTGATTCATTTCCTCCATCAGTAAGTTAATTTTGAAAAATTTGTCCACCTCCAGATTTGCCAATGTCATGTTCAACCACTTCACTCCAATTCATTCAATTTAAGAAATCTAATTGGTTCCCTACCTCCTCTGCCCCTCCATATGTTCTGGGGGCATTGGCAGCCCCACATACACATGCACAGGTTCAGACAGTTTCTTTTATTCCTTGCCTGGAAGTGCAGTGTTCTGCAAACCTGCATGCAAAAGGGGTGGAAAAGGGATTGCTGAGAGCTCAGAGGACAGATGAACTTACCGGGACTGGACATAGGTCCCTCCCCTGAATCCCTGACCTTCTTCCTCATAGGCAAGTATTTCCCACCTACTTTATACTCCTCTTACAGTGCTGCGGCTTTGAAATTCATCAGCTCCCTTCCCTACCTCCTTCCCTGTAACAAAATTGAAGGTGGTGGAGCGAAACTGCCTAGAAGCCAGACGGGTAAAATGAAAAAAATGTCTGGAATTTCACCCTTACTTCCGTCACCCCCACCATCTCAGAGGTACCAGGATACTCCTTCCGACCCATTATACCGACTTCCACTGCTCCAGAAGAATTTCCTTTATTCTTCATCTTGGTTTCTGCCTCTACTAAACCTAGGATTGAATGAGTGATGGACGGATCAATACCAAGAACTGTACCCCAAACAGTAATTTGGAGAAAGGTCCTCCCTACCCCCACTCCAGGACTCTCATGACACCGCCCCCTTCTTAGCCACTTCTTTCCCTGTCTTGTAGCAGCAGATAACTTTTCTTTTGCAAGTTCTGAAATGGTGTAAAGAGGAGGGAAGGAGGGGGGATGCAGAGGAGATCCATGGGCCCACTCGAGTTTGCAATCTCCAGCATTCTTCACAGCAGGGGACCCCAAACACCGTCAGCACCCTCATTCTGACTTACTTGTTTCTGGACAACATTCCTTTTCTTCCTGCTCTCAGGTCTGATAGGCCTTCAGGTGCAAGACCCACAGACAGACTGGCAACTCAGCAGAAACAGATGGATGGGGGGACAGTACAGCACTTCAGAGTCCCAATAGCAGCTTTTCCAAATGCAAGGTTCTGGTAGTTAAACAGATTTTACGTTTTGTTTTCTCATCCTTTCCCCACTTCTCAGGACCCCGCAGACATCAGCCAGCTACCTGCATTGCATCCACCCATGCCCTCCATCTCCAGCCCATGGCCATTTTCCCAGCAAAAACCACACCCCTTTGGGATGACTGGAAATAGAGAGTTGGGGGAAAGGGGAGGAGGAAGTATGGAAAATGGGCGGAGAGAAAGACCAAAGGATCTCTTCAATTCTCCTCCCCAATGCATTCCTACCCCCTTCCCATCCTCCGCCTTTAACAACCATTTTTTCTGTTAGGCTGTATCATTTCCTTTTTTCCTACATAAAAAAAGCAGTAAGATAGGCGGAGAGAGTCCTTAATGCGCCCAAGTTAGGGCAAGGGCCTCAGTCATTTCCACCCTTCTCATGGGCCTTGAGGCAATCCCCCCTTTACACCGATATGCAAGGATTCCTGGCAGATTCATTGTTCCTTTGCTCTGAGTGGTGCAGCGCCCTACTGAAAGACTCACAGAATAATACAGGGTCAGACAGATGCAAAGTCCCAAGATTCTGGGTTGGTAGATGACCCAGGACCCAGGCATAGGACACAAATCCTACTAAAGTGCTCTACCGGATTCAATGTCCTGGGTGCTAAAGGTTTCTCCCCTCCTATCCTGAAGTCTCCCCTGTAATACAGCCCCCAACATCCAACATTTTCATTCTTGGAAGGGCAGGGGATAATGCAAGGGTGCAGAGAAAGCAGACCTTGTCTCTTTTCAGTCTCCACCTTCCTCAACCTGCATGGCAGGGATCTCCCAGGCAGCGCCCATCCACACAGACTTGTTGGGATCCGAGCAGTTACTTACCTCTTCTTCATTCCCACCCCACAGGCCCACCCACCTTTGGGGCAATAGGCAGATGACAACCAGACCAAAATAAGACTAAGATTAGAAGGACATCTGCACCTGTCGGCATTTGCTCACGTGAGGGCCACGTCACCCGTGAGCTCAAGATCCCAATTACCACTCCTGCCAGCAGTGCAGCTGGAGCTGGCCCACCCCTTTTCTTCCCTGGCCACGTCAGGTCCCGCCACTCGTTTTCCTCTGTCAGTTGCAGAAACCAGGGATATCTTTGCCTTGTGGTTGGAATCTCCCTTTAGTTAACAGGCAGAGACTGTATCTGTTCCCATGTTCATTGGTCTTTTCTTTCACTTTGAGGAATATTTTTTTTCCCTTATCCCTGTGCAACTGCCAGCCATGAAAGTCCAGCACTTCTCCTGCACCCCTGCAGGAAACGGAAGAAAAATCTCAGAAAAAGATATATAGGCAGTGGAGTGTTTTACCTTTTTAAACCTTTCTGTTCATTTTTTTTAAAATCAGTGAATGTATTGCTTTTATATTGAGAAAGTAAAATGTTATTTTCATTTGAATAGAAGATTTAAGTGGGAGAGAAAAAGGTCTCAAAACTTCATTATATTTATTTATTTATAATGCAAAGAAAGTTTTCTATTGGTTATAGTCAAACAGGAACTTTTGAAACATTAACCTGTTTTAAAATTTGTAACTGGAATTTTCACATTATATATGAATTAGTCCACAAAGAGAAGACTAGTCCTGTAATCTTGGGCATTTTATGCAAATGCTCTTTCTTTTTCTACTTTTGAATCAACTTGCAACCTGATATAACAAAAGAAACACAATCCTGTCTTTTTAAATTAAAAACAGATAGTATTTAATGTCCCAAACTCTTAGATGACTGTTGTGTGAATCTCTTATGATTTTTTAATTTTTATTTTTTAAAATTTTATTACTATATTACAGTTGTCACAATTTCCCCTCTTTGCCCTTTTCTGTCCAACCCCACCTCCCATTGTCCATGTCCATGAGTCATTCATACATGTTCTTTGACTAGTCCTTTCCCCTTTTTTCCACCATAATCACCCTCCTACCCTACTCTGGTCAATTTCAGTCTGTACCATGTTTCCATGCCTCCAGTTCTACTTTTGCTCATTAATTTATTTTGTTCATTAGATTCCTCTGATAAGTGAGATCATATGGTATTTTTCTTTCACCTATTGGCTTATTTCACTTACTGTAATACTCTCCAGTTCCATCCATGTTGTCACAAAAAGTAGGACTTTCTTCTTTCTTTCTGTCATGTAGTATTCCATGCATAAATGTACCATCGTTTTTGACCTATTCATTTACTGATGGGCACTTAGCCTGTTTCCAGCCCTTGGCTATTAAAAATAGTGCTGCTATGAACATAGGCATGCTTAAGTTCTTTGGAATTGGTGATTCAGGATTCTTAGGGTATATTCCCAGTGGTATTGGTGAGTCAAAAGGTAATTCCATTTTTAATTTTTTGAGGAAATTCCATAATGTTTTTCACAGTGGCTGTATCAGTGTGCATTCCTACCAACAGTGCCCTAGGGATCCCTTTTCCCCACACCCTCACAGTACTTCTTGTTTGTTTATTTATTATTGATGGCCATTCTGACAGGTGTGAAGTGGTATCTCATTTTGGTTCTAATTTGCAACTCTCTGATGGCTAGTAATGTCAAGCATCTTTTCATATGCCTTATGGGCCCTCTGTATGTCCTCCTTGGAGAAGTGTCTGTTCAGGTCCTTTGCCCATTTTTTAATTGTACTTTTTGTCTTCCTGGAATAGAATCGTATGAGTTCTTTATCTGTGGAGATTAAACCGTTGTCGGTGTGTCATTGGCAAATATGTTCTCCCACACAGTTAGTTCCCTTTTCATATTGATGATGTATTCTTTAGCCATGCAGAAGCTTTTTAATTTGATGTAGTCTCATTTGTTTATTTTTTTCATTTCCCTTGCACTAGGAGATATATTGGCAAAAATATTGCTATGTGGGATATCTGAAATTTTACTGCCAACATTTTCTTCTATGACTGTTATGAAGTGACAACTTATATTTAAGTCTTTTATCCATTTTGAGTTTACTATGGTGTATGATGTAGGTTGGTGGTATAGTTTTGTTTTGTTTTTTTGCATATACCAGTCCAGTTCTCCCAACATATTTATTGAAGATGCTATTTTTACTGCATTGCATGCTCATGCCTCATTTGTCAAGCATTAGTTGACCATAGAGACATGGGTTTATTTCTGGACTCTCCATTCTGTTCCATTGATCTATGTGTCTGTTCTTATGCCAGTACCAGACTGTTTGGATTACAGTGGCATTGTAGTATAGTTTGGCATCAGGTATTATGGTCCCTCAAACTTTATTACTATTTCTCAAGATTGCTGAGGCTATTCAGGGTAGTTTTGGTTCCATATAAATTTTTGGAGTATTTTTTCTATCAGAGAAATAATGCCATTAGTATTTTAATAGGAATTGCATTGAATCTATAGATTGCTTTAGATAGTATGAACATTTTAATGAGGTTAATTGTTCCAATCCATGAACATGGTATATTCTTCCATTTCTTTGTATCTCCCTCAATTTCTTTCTTCAGTGTTCTATAGTTTTCCAAGTTCAGGTCTCTTACCTCCTTTGTTAAATTTATTCTTAGGTACTTTATTCTTCTTGTTGCTAGAGTAAATGGAATTTTTTTTCTAGTTTTTCTTTCTTATAGTTCATTCTTGGTGTACAAAAATGCCATTGATTTCTGAATACTGACTTTGTATCCCTCTATTTTTACCAAGTTCACTTATTAG